ACTGTCTTCACTCTGCCTGGGATTAACAGCTTCTTATCTGAGTTTTCCTCCCTCCCTCCCTCTCAGATCATATGTTGACCTCTTGATTTGCTGATAATAGTTTTCTGATTAAGTTCCCGAGAATCAATAACTCTTTCCTTCTTTCTTTTTTTTTTTTAACTAAATTTTGCACTTGTGTATGGGCGTGTGCGTGTGCGTGTGTGTCCCTATCCACTGAGAGCAGAGGACAACCTGGAGGAGTATGTTTTCTCTTCCTCTACCAAGTGCTTCCTAGGGATTGAACCCAGGTTATAAAGCTTGGTGGTGGGCGTCTCTACCCACTGAGCTGTTTTGTCAGGCCTAGAAGGATCAATAACTCTTGATGACTTTGATGACTTTGAGGCCAGTAGCCATGTCCATGTCCCAAACCACATGGTATGTGACAAGGAATATGTTTCCCTTTGGTGTTCATAGAACTAGATAGCCCTTGAAGTGTATCCTGTCAAGCCAGATAAGCACAGTCTTCAGTACACATACAAAGCAAGAGAATGAAGAACAGCATGGCTCTTCTATTTGAGTTACTCAGAAATTTCCTTAAAAGTCTTAGGTTGTCAAGTGTTTTGGGATTCCCATAATACAGGATCAGCATCCTTTTTTTATTGGATATTTTCTTTATTTACATTTCAAATGTTATCCCCGTTCCAGGTCTTCCCTCTGAAAACCCCCTATCCCATTCCCCCTCCCCCTGCCTCTGTGAGAGTGCTCCCCCACCATCCACCTACTACCATCTTCCTGCCCTGGCATTCCCTTACACTGGGGCATCAAACCCCCTCTGGCCCAAGGGCCGCTCCTCCCAGTGATGTACAAGGCCATTCTCTGTCACATATGTGGCCGGAGCCATGGGTCTTTCCACGTGTACTCTTTGGTTGGTGGTCTAGTCCCTGGGAGCTCCAGGGGGTGGGGGGGTCTGGCTGGTTGACACTGTTGCTCCTCCCATGGGGTTGCAAACCCCCTCAGCTCCTTCAGTCATTTCTCCAACTCCTCCATCAGGGACCCTGCACTCAGTCCAATGGTTGGCTGCGAGCATCTGCTTCTGTATTTGTCAGGCTCTGGCAGAGCCTCTCAGGAGACAGCTATATCAGGCTCCTGTCAGCAAGCACTTCCCGGCATCCTCAACAGCATCCAGGTCTGATGACTGTATATGGGATGGATCCCCAGGTGGGGCAGTCTAACACCCAATCCAGTTAGGTCCACAGCACACAGAGTTATGCCTACTAAAGAGAGGCCAGTATGGTGAAGGGACATTTTACATGTATGACCCTTCTTCCCAGTGACTTAGTAAAGTTCGGTAAAGTACTCTGTCTTGTCAATGAGGGCATGGGGTGAGGGGAAGTTTCTGGTACAGGTTCACTGATGATGGTCCAAGGCCTGACAGTGACTGAGGTACTTTCCCTGTAATCCCACACTGATCCCTTCAGGGGCTGTTGTCATATCCCTGGCAGAGCTGGGAGAGATGACTGCTACTAAAAATGTGGAAACTCAGTCCAGGAGACATGGTGACATGTTCAAGTTTTGAATGGTAGAGAGTCAAGCCTCCATTTTCCCAAAGATGATCTGAAGCCAGTTAGTCAGTGGTCTGATGACCCAACCCTCAGCAGTAACCTCATGACCCCTCCCTCATCAGTTACCCCATGACCCCACCCTAAGCAATTGACCCCGTGACCCCACCCTCAACAGTGACCCCATGACCCTACCCTCAGCAGTGACTCCACCCTCAACAGTGACCCCATGACCCTACCCTCAGCAGTCCCCAAAGGTTTCCTAAGGCACAAGTCCTCTCACATTGTTCATAACCTGGAGCCTCAAAGATTTTCTTAGTTTCCCCCAGGCTGTGGAGATTGCTTAACTGATAAAATCCTTGTCACATAAACATAAGGACATGAGTTCAAGATCTAGCATACACGTAGACAGCAGAATAGGGCAATGAGGCTTTCAAATCCCAAGGCCTGGGAGGGGAAGATCAGCAGATCCCTGGTTTTGCTGACTAGCAGCCTAGTAAAACCAGTGAGCTTCAGATGGTGTCTCAAGAAGGCAAAGATTGACCTTCCCAGAATGGTGGAGAGGCCCACAGATGAGGCCCTGGGTACCAAAAGGCCACTGGATTGGTAGCTTATGGCCCAGGAAGCATAAGCCTCAAGGATTAGGCAGGACCCATGAGATTTCAGTACCACCCATAGAAGCCTGGGCTGCCTGACCATGGCAGGTTACTTCAACCATGCCCAGTGGTACTAGACCCACCATCCCCAAAGGCCCATCTTCTTCCCATAGTTCCCTCCTCACAATGAGCAGATTGATTTACCCTTACCCTTTTCAGGTTGTACCTCTGCCTTCAGCCTTATGTGGAACAGCCTTCCAGCCTAATCTGGAAGACCACAACAGGGCAGTAATGAGTCCAAGCTGTCTGCACTCATCTCTGGGCTTTTGCAGACCCCTTAGGATCATACTGCAAGCCTGAGGTCAAGACACAAAACAAACTGATATCCACGAAGCAGGTATCTATCTCCATATGATACCCCTTCCCCACCAACCTGGGCCTCTTCTCTCCCTCCCTCAAGCCACCCCTTCAGTCACAGGACTTGAACTGAGAAGGCCCCTTATAGTTAATCCTGACAGATAGTTCCCATGGGGTCTTTCTCCCCAGGTACAATGTATCAGTGCATGAGGAGACCTCAAGATTGTCCAGAATGACCCTTTAGATAGCAGAGGAGATGGAGGCTGACTGGAAATGGAGGTGACTTGGTGTCATAGTGAGATAGTGGCTGGCCCAGGGTTTGGACATCCCAATCATCTCTGTAATGAACCCTCTATGAGTTGCTACACTGCCTCTCAGAGGCCACGTGGGTCCAGGAAACAAACACCTCCTCAGGTTGGAGGATACACCAAGAAATCCCACAGTGGTAATGCCAACTATGCCCTTGCCCACTATCAGACGGCAGAGAAACGACACCCAGAGTCTGACCCAGCTAGGACTTTTGAAGCTGAGGCTGAGGTGCAGAGGCTTTGGCCGGGGATGGTGTGGGGGCTGGGCAACACACAGATGGCATCCACTAGTGTCTGGAGAGCACATCCCATCAGCCACATTCTTAGCAAGCTGCTCTACTTGCAGACCCTTCCCCACCATTCCCTTAGCCCTTGAATTTGGCACATGGAGGGGAACTGTCTGCCACTGGGGTGAAACCCTTGACTGGGCCTTGTCATTGACTGGTAGAGGGGACAGAGAAGTCAGAGAACTCTCTGCCCTGAGAGGTGTAGACCTGAGCTCAACATCTAGCCTCTGTCCTAGCTGGCTGCCTGAGCACTGCTTCCCTGTCTTGGTTTCTGAACTTTGAGCTTAGGCTGACATCATGAGCAGGGACAGTTCTGAGGAAAAGGCAAATAGTCAAACATATCCTGTATGTTTCCCCTTCTCTTGACCTCTGGCTTCACTACCAGTACGCCTCTTTTATGCAAAACAGCAGGCAAGGCTGTGCTACCAGGGGGAGACTGGAAAGAGCTAGCCATAAAAGAAAATCCAGAAGCAACAAGACATTTGGCTGTCGCCAAAGATGGAGTTGCTGGAACCAACATACCAGCCTCCTCTGGGGTCCTAGAGGCTATCTTCCCCTCCTCCCTTGTCACCTTCAGGGTCCTCTTCTCAGCTCTCCACCCTTAGCCATACCTACCTCACCCCAGTGCTGGGAGTGCCAACTGGGCGGGGTCCTCCATGTTGACTGAACGTATGCCCTACCTGGTGAGAGCATACAGCGGCTGCCAGGGCTTCCAATGCTGGGGAGCTCCGGGGGAATTCATATTCTTGGTTCCGGGACTGATTCACCAAGTCAGTCAACACTGAGTACTGTATGGAGGTGGAGGGAAGGAATTCCCATGTTCCTGCAGTCCCTTCTATCTGGATAAAGTTAGGCAACTCAGCGATAATTCACTATGCTGGTGGCACAATGAACAGCCCACCCAAGCCATTTTGGTCCTGGGATGCATTAAGAAGCCATAGTGTGGAAGCTAAAGGGGACATGAACATAGGAAGACTCTGCTGAGTTATTTGGGGCTTTGTTGCTAAAACACACTCCTACTATGTACACTAGCCTGGCCTCAAATATGATCCCCTTACCTCAGCTCTTTAAGTACTGGAACTTACAGTTCCAGTTAAGTACAGGCAAATACCACCATGTCATCTCTTAACTATGTCTGGCCAGTCCACCCACTCTTCATAGCTTCATAGGCCTCAAAAACCCTAACTCAAAAATGCCAGGACCAGCTTAGGAGATTCACCATAAGTACAATCTTAGGCAAAGTGACACATGAGTTTTTCTTGTGGCTCCTTCCTTGGGGACACAACCAGAAAACAAATGTTTACTTGGAAGTTTAACAGAGAAGTCTGCCCCCGCCTGAGGCATCTCTGAGAAGTCTTCCAAGGTGAGGGGCTTTTCTCATTCCTGCTAGAGCAGTGGTTCTCAACCTTCCTTATGCTGTGACCCTTTAATACAGTTCCTCATGTGGTAGCCCCCAATCATAACAGTATTTTGTTGCTACTTCATAACTAATTTTTCTGTTGAGTAATAATGTAATAAATATCTGATATGCAGGATACACAACGAGCAACCCTCAAAGGGGTTACGAGCCAAAGGTTGAGAACTACAGGAACCAGTATCTCCATGCTGGAAGCAGTCCTTAAAGCAACTGATAAGTTTGGTGTAACTCAATTAGGACTGAGAAGGAAGAGCAAGTGTATACCGAAATCTCATGAACCTGCTCCCTGCAGAGAACCAGAGAAAAGCACTGTGATAACTTTGCCAGAATCAGTTTCCCCACTTGTAAGATACTCATGTATTTGCCACGTTTGTTTCTAGTAGTTTTTAAGATTATGTTTAGTACGGAAAATATGTCCCCTGCTTAAAGCTTTGTTATGCTTCCTTGTGTGAAACAGGCAACCTAAGTCTACTCCTTAAACAAGCACAAACCACAGATGGAGTTGATACCAGCGACAGAATTTATTATGCGAAGCAGTTTGAGAAAGCTCAGGTTTGGAAGATCACTTTTTTTCACATGTCCCCTACCCATAGGTGAAGAGGTGGATCACAGACTGCAGCCCAAGGTACGTCAGTTACTGTGCACTTCCTGATTATCTTAAGATCACAAAGGGTGTGATTTGGACCCAAATCTTATAAAGAAAAGCCCTATGACGAAATTACACTCTGACACCCTCCCAATAGATATCACCAGCCTCACCCAGCTGAGAGGGGGAGCATCTTCCGAGAGCCAGAGCTGAGTGGACCAGGATGATAATTGCCTGTGAGTGAGCCTGGGAGAGGAGTCTCATCCTGTGAGTGGGAAACTCAAGCCCTCCTGTGACTCTTGCGTGAGTTAGGCAGGGTTTAAGATCTTTAGGTGGAAGTCTCCTGGTTGCTTAGCAACGGGTACTGCTCCTGATCATGAATGAGCAATGTTGTCGGGAAGGTGGGCTTCCACTTTGCAAATGTAACGACAGAATTCTTAGGAGCTGAGACAGAGGTGGTCTTTGGGCAGAGCTGAGTGCCCTTCTTCTTTCCACATCTGGGGATGTAAGCTAGCGTACCTCATCTGGGATTTGTCTTACTCTTCCGATCAGTTCCTTGCCTGGATCCAGGAGGCAAATTCCTTTTCTTACTCCCTTCAAATAAGTGACACTTAGCTCAAGAAACACTGCTCTCAACAGCTACTGAAACTTCAGCCCTGGGGCCATTTTCATGTTAATAAAGCCGTTTCTTCATCAGTCAGCCCGGCTCCCTGGCAGCCACAGTGGAACATGGACAAGGGCATGCTTTGTCTCCTCACCCAAAGAAGGTACTAGAGAAAGAACATTCCCAGGGTCTATCTGCCAGACTCTGTTAGACTTTGCTCAGTATGAGCATCTCACTCTGGCTGCAACATCCCCCAAGGTACCCCTACTTCTGTCTTTAAGGCACGCCAACTCCTCTAAGGCTCTCGGCTTATGAGTTTATTATTTTTACCATTCAAAAGAAAGTTCTGCATTAATGGCCTCCCCTTCTAGCCATTTAGCCCTTAGATGCTGAGGGTGGGCTGAGAACATACACCAAGTCACATTTAGGGATTCTGGTCATTGGGGTCACACTTGATCATAACTTTGAGCCCCACTCCCTTTTTGGCTGTTTCAAAGGCTTCCACAGCCTTCTCCAGAGGGAATCTATGGGTAACTAAGGGCTTCACATTCAGCGTCTTCGATGCAAGCATGGAGATTGCCATTGGCCACCTGTAAGAGATCACAAGCACTCCATTAACAACCTTCAGGAAAAGAGTCAGCCCCCGCCCCAAAGTACTAAGCTCAGAAACTGCTCAACCATATTTATTTCTAGTTTAGTGCTTCTACAAGGTCACCTGTAGAGTGAGAGAGCCTTGTGGGCTGTAATTCATGTTTCTAGCTCCTCTTCTCGTGACAGACGTATGCCATAAAGCCTAGAAGTTCTTTGGCATGAAGGCCTAAGTTATACTATAGATGCCAATACAAAAATGCAGGTAAAGCATCAGGGAGGTAGCCTGGGACAGGTCCAAGATAATCCATTTGCACCAATTAGCAGCCCAGCCTGGCAGACTAGAATGTAAAGTGGGTGCTCTGCTGAGGGCATGGAGCTTTAAAGCTGGGAGTGAGAGGCATCCCTGGGGAAGTGTGCTCCAGAGAGAGCATCCTTACTGCACACACTGGGGAGTATGTGTGAGGTGGGAGAGAAGCGACTCTCCCCAAGACAGATCCCTTATTTGCTTTAAATGGGAGAAAACAAGTCTTTAGGAAATGAAGAGGAAGAAAGCCTCAGTGATGAGTGGACGATCCAAGTCCCATCCCTGTCTATTCCTCCCTCTGAGGGAGAAGTACATGCTCTCTCCTAATGGCCCCATGTGGCCAGGGAACGGCCCTCATGAGTAAACATGCACAGACACCTGGTCTCAGAGGCTACATGGGACCTGTCTTGGGCATGCTGGTCACCTTTGATCACCCTAAACATACTCACGTGTTGCAGTAGCGAAACACGCCTTTGATATCCACCTCCCGAACAGCTGCGTGCACTAGGGGCAATTTGATCATCTCAGAGCCCATTCCCACAATCACCAAGGTCCCACCAGAGTGAGTGGCCTAAGGAAGGAATAAAGACAGGCAAACTCAGGATATACAGATGGTATATCTGAGACCAGTATAACAAGTGGTTCCTGTTACACTGCCAAACTACTCTTCAGAGTACCCAAACCCAACAGAGCAGCCAGTAAAAATCATCTTTTTGTAATGTAAGGGTGGCGGGTAGAGAAAAGACACTAGGAACAGTCAGTTATTGGGTGGGCACAGTGCCATACCCAGCACCAAGGAGGCTGATGCACGGGACTGCCAAGAGTTCAAGACAGTGTGGGCTACAGAGTGAGGGCCAAGACAGTCAGGGCTACATAGTTGAGACCCCCACATCTCAAAAAATAAAATGAAAATAGGGAACCCCACTCTGAGCTCAGCAGTAGGGAGAAAACTGCGGCCATCACACAAAGCAGGTGACTCAATTCTGTGGATTGACAGTTTCATCCACACCACCACACAAACAGGCTCTGGAATCCAAGGTTTGAAAACAGCTTCATCCATGAAGCCTGACAGGAACCATTTGTCTTTCACCTCAAAGGAATGGATTTTTGTCTTCCCTAAATATTTATCTGGAAATTCAGCATCTGCTAACATTATGCAATTAGACTCCAGTGATTCACTCCCTCCTTGAAGCATGTTGGAGGAGGGAGACTGCCTCCATGTATGCCCTGTTAGAGAACAGTGCTGGCCCCACGGCATGCTGTGGTCCCTGCCACAGGAAAACGGACAAGCCGGTCAGACATGGCAGCAGCTCTTACACCATGACCATTTTGAGAGCTATGAGAGAGAGAGAGAGAGAGAGAGAGAGAGAGAGAGAGAGAGAGAGAGAGAGGAATGTGCAGGTGTGCAGGTCAGCCCTTCTGAGGGAGTCTTAAGAAATGCCATAGGCAGGGGCCTGCGGTGCCCAGATGAGAGGTGGCACTCCAGGCTGCTGGCATTGAGACTCTGAGCAGCACGACCCTGAATGTAGTTCCTCAGACAGCACCTCCTGAGTGACAACCACAGTGTTTGGCACTTGTGTACACTCAACATTTGGCTGTTTTCTGTTTTCATTAAAATGCAGAAATCTTTACAAACCACTCAGGAATATATGTGAAATGGGAAAATATCGCTGTCCCTGTGGAAACCGGTGAGAGGTCAAAGTTTCGAGTTGAGTCACAGAAAACTCTTGATTGACTTTTCCAGGAAAATGGTTTCCCTGCTTGGGAACTGCCCTCGTTGACAATGAGGAAGAACCTACTGGCTATTCCAAGTAGCAAGAGCCAGCAGTACGCTAGCCACAGGCCAATGAATGCTCAGATTACCAGCCCACTGTGGGTGTGGTCGATATACTAAGAGATGCCATTAGTTCTACCCAAGGGCATCAACATTCACAAACAGCACCGCGTCACCTCCCAGGCAGGAAGGCCGCAGGTCCCTATTGGGTACTCTTGCCTGCTGCACTCATTGGAGGGGTTGCCATACCTTCTGCATGATGGCTCCATAACCATGTCAGGAGGACATGAGTCATGCCTGGTGAGTAACTCAGGTCACATGCACCTCTATGCCATCCTCAGGTTGCCTGGCAACTGGCCTGCAGCATCAACTATGGAAGGTGACATGTATCCCCAAATATCAGGACATTAGAGGAAGGACAGCCACATGCATTAAGTCTCACTGCCTCTCTGGGGTGTGGCACCACTGGTCTGCTAGCCACCTGTAGATGGCAGACATAACTTCCTTGCTGCCACAACCTACAGTGTGTCTAAAACAAAGCCTGGTACCCAGGAGGTACCTGAGAGATACACCACAAGAGTAGCTCTACCACTGACAACTCATCATCCCCCAGTCCTACATGGAGGCCACTGGCTATGAAGGTGGAGCAGAGGGTTTGTTGACTCTAGCAGAAACTCAGAACAGCACACTTCCTCATGTCATCCCTCCTGCTACCTCTGTGACACTAAGCGTCTTGGTAGGAAGAAACATGGCAGTGCTGCATGTGTTCCAGGCCCGAGAGCCTGCAACAGCTAGAGGTGTCAGCCTCCATGAATTTCTCATGTGCTGCAAATGCATTGACTCAGAAGCTAAGTGGATGCCCAGGGCCCAGAGGGGAAGCAGGTCCTCAAGGTAGAGGCAGGAGCTCGACCCCGCTCAGGCCCTCCCACCCCACAGCCACTTGTCCACTCCTTCCTATCCAGTGAGTAAAGCTTGGGCAGCAGGGCCTGACTCTTGACCCTGACTCAAGGCACGTAGGACCTGGGTATTTGGAAGCAGTCTCCAGGACTCTCCCACTGAAAACTGATTTCAGGACTTACTAAGGCACAGGGGCATCATGCTCAGAGTGCCATAGAGGGCTGGCATCCAGGAGGGCTGTCTTTCCTCCTTTCCCTGTACTTTGCTCTGTCACCGCCACACCTTCCCCCACCCCAACTCCTTCTCTGTTTCCCATTAGTTGCTAGTGGGGTGGGACCTTGAGGGGTGAATCAGGCAGCAGCGGCTTATCTGCCCCTGCTTCTGGAAGACGGCACCTCAGTTACCAACTTTGGCCTTGAAAAATTCATCTCACTTTTGTGACTAACTGAATTATTAACTGTGGCTTTGTATCAATGACTCAAAGACTAGTTTTCCTCAATAAAACAATACAGGAATTTCCCACCCGACTAAGCCACAGTTCTGATTATCCTGTTGAGGACTTTGCCAAGAGTGTTGCTTCCCGGGTACTTGTGTGATACTAACAGCAACCCCATCCTGAAGCGGCATGTGTGTCTGCTTTTCACATTCCAACCTCATTAGGACTCAGTGAGCACTCAAAGCGAGTCCATATAAAAGGTAGGGAAATGAAGTACAGAGGGGTCGGCTGGTTCAGCTCGGGAGTCAGATAGCAGCCTGGTGGAACTTGATGGCAGAACATCCTCTCTGCTGCCCCCTTCCTATATACACCACTCCCGCGCCCTAAGCTGCACACTGGCCCCTGGCGAGCTGCCTCATCTCACTCACATAGATGCCGGTCTGGATGGAGGACTCCGCTCCTGAACATTCAATGGTGACCTCTGGCTTGCCCCCCAGCAGACTTTCCACCTTACTGGCAATTTCCTGAGGGGTCTCTTTGGCAATCTGGATGGTAAAGTCGGCTCCAACTTCCTTGGCTTTGGTCAACCGAGAAGCAGATAGGTCTAAAGGTAAGCACACGTTATTTCAAATGGAGAAGTCTAGTAACAGACTAGGAAGAAAATAAAATGGACGTATAAGACCTGATGCAGCAATCTCCAGTGCAAGGAAGGGGTGAAGCTGCTGTGCTTAACACACCCAACCCTACACACTGCCTACTGTGTACAGCTACACATGTACACACATTTATAGACACCCTTTACATACAGAAAACACCTCTACCCAGCCTCACACACACTACAGCTCTACAAAGCTACACCCCACACACACACACACACTCACACACATGCGCACACACACCATTTTTGCCATCTAAGGGTGGTCAGACAGACCAAGCATGAACCACCGCTTAGCATTAAGAGGGTAGTGTGAGGGACCTCATTTTCCTCTCTACAACAGCTACCTTCTCCCTTCACAAAAGTGACTATTTCTGGGCCCTGAGTTGGTCACTCCTGGGCAGGCTTTTCAGCTCTAGAACCGAGGAGACAGCAGGGAAAAGCTCTTTTAGGCACCTGTACTTCAGAACATGCTGTGGTTTATCCCTTAAAAACCCACACAAGGTTTACTCCGCAGCACAGAGATCTGAGCTCGCACAACCTTTAAGAGCTGGCACCTGTGCACTGGTCCCAGGAAAGGGACAAGTGTTCTCCTGAGAGTACCAGGGTCTGGATCTATCTGGCATCCTGTTTTCACCACATACTCCTGTCATTGTGATGCCATCCACCATGGGGCATTCACGAGAGACCAGACTAATAAGGTGGTTCAAGCTTAGACTCTTGACTTCTGAAACAGTGAAATAAGGCATTTCCTTTTTTAGCAACAGCAGAGAACGAGGCCCTTTGCTGGCTTCAAGTCCAGCTGTTTCCCTCTCAAGGAGATTTAAACAGAAGAAAACCTTACCACCAGATGTGGTAGCCAAGCCTTTAATCCCAGTGCTCAGAAGGCAGAGGTAGACAGACCTCTAAGAGAAAGAGGAAGAAGAAGAAAAGAGACCCATCTTACCAGTCACCACCACTTGAGCAGCTCCCATTGCTTTGGCTACAAGCAAAGTGACCATCCCAACTGGGCCTGGACAAAGAAGAGAATGGAGAAGTTTGTGTGTTTCTAAAAGCATCAACTCTTTCCCTGCCTGAGCCCCGGACAGGAGCTATGGTTTTGTGTGTGTGTGTGTGTGTGTGTGTGTGTGTGTGTGTGTGTGTCTTGCTAGTGTCTATCCAAGTGCCTGGCATACAATAAGATTTTTAAAGCTGTTGATGAACACAGATGTGCACAAATGAAGAATTGTTCTCTTGCTAAAACATGTTCCTAGCAGTAAGTTCTGGTTGATCCCTCACTCTTCAGAGCTAGGAAGTTTCCTTTCTCTTAGGTGCTGCTTGAGAGAATTGAAAAGCACCAAAGACTAGGCACCAGAAGGTCTGCATGTGTCTCCCTGACTCTGACTTCAGGAGAACATACACCACCCCTCCCCAGGGTGACTCGCATTCTTCCAGGACACTCCAAGCATCCCTCTTCCTTGAGGTGGGTCCCTGGGTTGACCCACCCACTACCTTGGTATTTGCTTGCTAGATGGCTCTGTGGTTTTGACATAAAACAAAGCCCCACACGAGGCAATAAGGAATAGTTTTTGAGTTTGGTTTTTGCACACCACCCCTTTGTGTACTTCCCCCAGAAAGCAAAACACAAGGAACACCTAAAGTGTCTGGGAGAGCAGGGTTATTGCACAGCTTCAAAGATTATGCTATAACTTTACAGCTACTGACTTACAGAATCATGGTTTTCTTATTGCATTTATTTATGGTGCCTATGCATCTGTACATGTGTGCAAGCATGTTTATGAATCATGACACACATGTGGAGGTCAGAAGACAATTTGTAGAATTTGGTTCTTTCTTTGCGTGGGTTCCCAGAACTGAGCTAAGCACAGATTTAGTGGTAGGTACCTTTACCAGCTGAGCCCAGGGGGTTTTCTTTTGTGTTTGAGGGAGCATAGGCTTCTGTGTCCTAAAGCTATAATCCCAGCCATCAGGAGGCTGAGGTAAGATTGTAAATTCAAGGCTAGCCTGAGCTACATTAGCAAGACTCTATTTTTAAGTCTTAAGCCACACATACACAAAGTCTAGCCAGGGATGGTAACACACACCTGCATTTCCAGCATTTAGGCAGCTGAAGCAGGAACATCGTGAATGTGAAAGCAAATCTGACTACCTAGCCAAACCGCTGAAAACAAAGCAAAACACTTAAAACCAAAAAACCACAAAACTAAAACTGATTCTGCAGAAAAATATTAACAGTGGTTCTCTCAGGCTCACGAGTAATGGGCTATGAATGAATCTCTCTCTCTCTCAATCTCTCTCTCTCTCTCTCTCTCTCTCTCTCTCTCTCTCTCTCTCTCTCTCTCTGTGTGTGTGTGTGTGTGCGTGTGCATGTGTGTGTGTGTGTGCATACATGCATACATGTGTTGTCTGGGTTACCAGCAATTAAAAATTCAGGATTATTTGGTCTGAGGCCTCTGGGGTTTGTTTCAAATAGCCAAAACCAAGAGATGGGAGAAGTCAGAGAGAGCTGGAACAGGGTCCTGGTCAGAGTCAGACTCCCTCCTGTGACCAGGGCCCACCTACTCCCTTTGCAGAGGGGCAAGCCTGTCATTTCTCTTGTGTGACTTACAAGTTTTTCCCTTTACTACCCCAAATATTTCCCTAGTTTCTATCAAGGGTTCAAAAATTATTGCAAGATGTATTTATTGCTAAAATGATAAAGAGTTATATTCCCTGTGAAATCAAATGTTAGTTACTCTCATGCTCACAGACACTTACTCGTTTCTTTGACCTTTCAGAGATAGGGTCTCACTATATAGCTCAGACTGACCTGGAATACATAGAAATTCTTCTGCCTCAGCCTCCAGGTGCCAAGATGCAGATGTGTGCCACTCCATCCCCTTGGACATTTCCTTTATTTAGCCCAGTGCTGATCACTGAGCTAGACTATCTAACCTTCTCCTTCTCAGAAAGTGTCTAGCGTCAAACCCAGCTCTTGGAGAAGGAATGAGAGAGGGAAGGGATCTCTACATTCCTGTCAGCGAATCCAGGAGCCCTCTGTCTTACCAGCTCCACACACAAGGACCTTGTTCCCCAGGGAAACTGAACCTCGACGGCAGGCATAGATCCCCACAGACAGAGGCTCAATCAGCGCCCCTTCTTCAAAGGTAACGTTGTCAGGAAGCCTGAGAAGTAATCCAACATTCACAGTTAGGGTCTCTGCCTCTTTCAGGGTACTGATGATGCTATCAATTCTGCACTGCCATACCACAGTAATACTACTGTAATACTGTCACTAATATGACACTGTCTTTGCCTAAGGTCACTACACCATCAGTTAACATTTAAATCCTGACTTGTGTGTACAGCAATGTGCTAAGTGAGCACTCTCTATCTGTTTGTTTACAAAACTATTAGAATGATTCAGTAGTAGTTGCTATTAGCACCCCCAGACCTTCTCTCTCTCTCTCTCTCTCTCTCTCTCTCTCTCTCTCTCTCTCTCACACACACACACACACACACACACACACACACGCAGAGTCTACTGAGAAAGAAATTAGGCTTCAAGAGTTAAATGGCTTATCTCAGAAATTCAAATTCAAAGTGAGGCTTAAAGGATTTTGGTTGCCCTTGAAGCCAGGCCATTCTGCCTCTAGGAAAGTAAATTTCTTTGGCAAAATCACTTCAGAGTTCATTGAACACATGGTTTCTGGCGATTTTTTTTCAAGTGCTAGGGACTGAACCCAGTAACGCAGCACCTGCACATAAGCACTGGTACACACTCTGGCTTTCTAATATGCACTTGGCCAAGCAGTGAGTTAGTGGTGAGCATCCCTCTGTTCCCGCCCTCATCACGTATCCCTAGATGCCCCATGAACTGTCCCACAGTGCTGATGGAATGCTGTGTCACCTTCACTAGGTTCTCAGTTTCTCTTCTGAGCCCGCTGGCATCTCAACACATCCACCATTCTGTGATGGTGACAGTGAGTGTTTGTGGGAGAGTTTTGGGCAAAGAAGGTTGCTTTCTCACCTAGCCCTCAGGACAACACTGCCAGCCAGGCAGGGCAGGCTTCATTTTCACTTTGTTCTTCAGGAGACAAAAACTAAAACTGTGACAAGATTTCGAGACTCAAGCCAAAGAGTCCAGTCCTGACTGCCTTCCTTTGGCCCACATCAGCTGCCTCGTGGCACAAATGGCTCCTATTTCATTCCTGCTGGCCCATTATCCAGTGCTTGCTTAGTTCCTGTTTCCACACATATACACATTCGAAGACACAACGCCCTGCCCCTTCACATTCTCCCACAGAGCGAGGATTGGCTCTAAGCTGAGTTTCTCTCCAACCTCTCTGTAGCATAAGAAATGAGGTCATCACAACCAGCCAGATGTCCTTCAACAGAGGAATGGATACAGAAAATGTGGTACATTTACACAATGGAGTGTTACTCAGATATTAAAAACAATGAATTTGAGAAATTCTTAGGTAAATGGATGGAACTAAAAAATATCATCCAGAGTGAGGTAACCCAATCACAAAAAAAACACACATGGTATTCACTCACTGATAATTGGATATTAGCCCATAAGCTTGCAATACCCAAGATTCAACTCACAGACCACATGAAGCTCATGAAGAAGGAAGACCAAGTGTGGGTGCTTTGGTCCTTCTTAGAAGGAGTAACAAAATACTCAAGGGAGCAAATATGGACACAAAGTGTGGGACAGAAACTGAAGGAGGGGCCACCTCGAGACCATTCTACCTGGGTATCCATCCCATGTGCCGTCACCAAAGGTAGACACTGATGTGGATGTCAGGAAGTGCATGCTAACATGAGCCAGGTATAGCTGTCTCCTTAGAGGTCTGCCAGAGTCTGACATATTCAGAGGCAGATGCTCACAGCTAACCATTGAACTGATCAAGGGGTTCCCAATGGAGGGTTAAAGAGAAGGAGCTGAAAGGGTTTTCGGCCCCATGAGGAGAACAACAATACTAACCAACCAGAGCTCCCAGGGTCTAAATCACCAGCCTGGGAGCACATAGGGAGAGACCATGGCTCCAGCTGTATATGTAGGGGAGGATGGCCTTGTTGGGCATAGGTGGGAGAGGAGGTTCTTGGTCTTATGAAGGCTGGATGCCGAGTGTGGGGGAATTTGAAGATGGGGAGGTGGGAGTGGGAGGTGGGTGGGATATATCCTCATAGAAGCAGGAGGAGAGGGGATAAGATGGGGGTTCCTGGGCGGGGTGGGGGGAGGAGAATGGGGTAAGGGGATAACATCTGAAATGTAAATAAAATATCCAATAAAAAAACTTAGTTTTTTTTTTTTAAATAGAAAGTTAAAAGAAAGAAAGAAATGAGGTCAGAGTAAGGGGGAAGGGAACGACCACAGTCTGAGTGCTCTGATCAGGTGCTGCCTAGTTATACCTGTGCCCGGCTAAGAGCAAGGCTCCAAGCTCACAGGCAGAAGACCAGGAGTCTGAGACCAGCACCTCCAACCACTGACCAGGGCTCAGAATGAGGACTATGGGTTTCCTTGACCTGAGCCTTTTGTAACTTACAAACACTAGAGGACAGCCAACCTGGTAGATTTTTACAATAGGGTTCAGGGGACAGATAGGGTCTGGAAGGGGCCAGAAAGGTAGAGGAAGAGAGCTGAACACCAGAAGATATGGGGTAGGAAATGCAGAGGTAGTGGCAGTGTGGTCCTCAGAAACAGGATCAGAGAGGAAGGCTTGGGGCAGAGCTCCATGGAGCAGAGGCAGAAGGAAGCCTTGGAGGAAAGGTCACTAGGGGCTCTCCTCAGATCTGCCAAGACCACCCATAAACAGAATATCAATCACCACCACACCTCACACACCATCTTAAAACTCACCTCCATGCCAATCCCAGCAGTGCCTCTGTTCTGTCTCAGGCTTCATCCTGGACCTCCACCCTCAAACCTCAATACTGGGGCTAAGGCCTATCTTAGTGTCATCGGCCATGAGAAAGGAGGAACACCTGATACTCTTCTCATTGAATTCTTCCAGCTATTCTGTGAGAGAGATACTATCACGATGCCTATTTTACAGGCAAGGAAGGGTACTGAGGATTTTAAACCTTAAAGTCCTTGCTCAAGGTTAAGTGAGCAAGTGGCAGAGACCACTGTTCAGTTTTGAGCTTTACCACTGTGTTCCTCTGACTTTCATGAAAGGCTATTTGAGGCTTGACTTGACAAAGGACCCAGAAAAAAAAAATGAGCTGATCAGAAATCCCTTGCTGAAAGGCATACCCAACCTGTATAGCCTGCTTTCTTCTAGAGCAGTCTTGGGTGCTAACCTCAGTCATCACCACAAGATCTTTAATCTGTGTCTCTTCTCTGAACTTTCAGGAAGTACTAGAAAATCTCAGATCTAGCCAGCTGTGGTGTGCATGCCTGCAGCCTCAACAATTTGAGCAGCCAAAGCAGGATTGCCAGGAGTTTGATGTTGGCCTGGACTACATAGTCAGTTACAGGCCAGCCTGGACTATATGGTAAGATCTTGTTGAAGAAAAGATGGAAGAGGATGAGGATGAAGAGGAAGAGGAGGAGGAGAAGGAGGAAGAGGAGGAGGAGGAGGAGGAACCAAGATAGTTAAAAAAAAAAAAACAAAAAGGAAAATAAGCAAAGCCTCTTAGATCCAGCAGACCATCCCCAGCGCTTGACACATTCTGTCTCTGTCACACAAGCCCCTTACTGGCTGAGAGCTGCTTCTGGAATCGGGCTAGACAGGAAGAAAACTTGGATTGGTAAGGGGAATGGCCTGCCAGCAGCCTAGGGCTCCAAAGTACAATATGTGGCACCTTGCTCTTCTCTCAGAAGTATCTTTTTGAGCAAGACTGTTTCTGGCAAGGAAAGGGCAGTTGGCACCTGGCTGTGACATGTGCCTTGGGTCATTAACTTTCTTCTGCTTCAGCTAAGCCTAGCATTCAACTACAACAATGGTTCTCACCCCATTGCTATTCATCATTCACTAGGCACGCAGAGCCTGACTGAGTACAAGCATATATATGGAGTAGTAATAATAATAACTTCCCATGCATTGCCTGATTTAGCCTTCGGCTGGTTAACAGAAGCAGAAGGTCATATCAAGCTCCCCAAAGACACAAGGAGGGGATGGACATAGCAGGCCAGGACTCATGCCCTGCGCCATATGCACGGTATGTGACTCTGGCTGGCCTGAACTACCTACATATAGACCAAGCCTTCTGCCTCCAGAGTGCTGGGATTAAAAGAGTGTGATATCACACCTCACTATAGTTTTCCTTTCTGTGGTTGTAGTAGACTTGGTTATAACCAGTTCTGTCCAGAATGGCTGAAGAGGCACATGATTTTGGTGATGATCTTTTATTACTGATATAGGTAATGGGAAGTTAAACTGAAAGATCACTGTGAGTCAAACTGAACCTCAGGCTGGCTATCTTCCCTCAATGCCACCAAGAAGAGAAAAGCCTGCCTTTAATGTCTTGTAATTAAAAGTATTGCTAAGCCGCATGTGGTAGCACATGAAACAGGCAGGTCTCTGAGTTTGAGATTAGTTATCCTAGACTATATATCTCTAAGAGTTTGGGGTTAGCCAGAAATACATAATAAGTCTCGGCCCCCCTACGTATATATGTACACGTGTATGTATGTATGTTAAAGAAGTTGCTTGCTGTAAGGAACCAACCAATGAAAAAGAAAGGACTCCCAGGGGTTACGGCGAGGCTTTGGGCACTGACTTGTAGCAGAAGTCAGCACTGTGCTTGTAGAAGCGGCAGAGGTTCCCATCATCCGGGGGTGTGGCACAGAAGAAGATGGATGGCGACAGATTGTATCTGCCAATCTTGCAGTATTCATCTATTTCTCGGGGAACGCCAGGCTCGATGGCAACTCGATCTCCTGGAGAGAAGAACACAGATGGTACCACACTTAAGAACAGAAGCTGAACCTCAAGCCTGCTGGGTCTGGTTCTGCTTTCCAACCTTTGAAAATAGGAGCAGGAGCAGAAATGCTCTGAAGGCATGCTCGCTCACTGGCTGAGGCCAGATGTGGGAATCCAGCATCAAGACCCTCCCTCTCTGATGTCATAGGCAAGGCTGACTTTTCAATCTTTCGGTGCTTTCTCTTCTCTCCTCCCTTTCCTCTTCCCCCGACCTCCCCACACTATCTGAGATCTGTCTCAGTCATAAGCCAAGCCAGTCTTCAGCTCTCAGCAATCTCTGTGCTTCAGCTCTCTGAGTGCTGGGATTATCAGTGTGCGGTGACACAGTTCTCTCAGTGCTTCAGAACCGTCATCCTCTTGGCTCCCACTACAACCCAAGACACCTGAGGCTCTGAGGTTTTGTTGTGGATTAGCACTGTTGGTTACACAGTACTAAAAATGGAGACCACATGGTACATATTCCTTGCACCTGGCTTTTTATTAAGTATGTTTTTAGGTTAACACATGTTATAGATCAATTGTTTATTCCTCTTTGTGTGTGTGTGTGTGTGTGTGTGTGTGACTGAATAGTATTCCATCCTGTGAGCACAGCACTGAGAGTTAAGCTATTCTCAGTAGTTGGTAGACTACTGGTTATCTCCTGTTTTTTTTTTTTAGATAATTTTTATGATTATCTTGACTCCTCACTTAAATTGAGAGAGTACCTTAAGATCAGTAAGTTGCCTGTTTCATATATATTTTGCCATAATAAGAAACTGGGGTAGAAGCCGGGCGGTGGTGGCACACGCCTTTAATCCCAGCACTTGGGAGGCAGAGGCAGGCGGATTTCTGAGTTCGAGGCCAGCCTGG